AATTCTGTTTGGCTCTTTTAATTTGTTGCGCCATTTTTTTGGCCTCTACTAAATTTATTTTATGTTTTATTAGTTCCATTTGTTTTTAAGTATTTTGTGGGTCTGCTTGGAGTTCTGATTCTAATTTAAGTTCTTTCTGTAGTTTTAACTGTTGTTGGTTTTTTTGTTATTCTTTTTCGCCATGTAAGTTATAGCCAACCCTCTAGTGAGCAGTGACTTAAATATGAGCTAGCAGTGTTATGCAGCTTCCAAAAAAGGCAATGCAGTCCTAGGATGCATCAATAAAGGGATAGTATCAAGATCATGTGAAATATTAGTACCGCTTTATACTAGACTGGTAAGAATAGAATAGAATAGAATAGAATAGAATAGAATAGAATAGAACTTTATTGTCATTTTGAATGTACACCAATCGGCGCACATCAAAATGAAATTTTATTGCATACAGCTCTCAAAGGGTCACCACCTCCAATATACACTCTTTCTTCCGGGCCAGTTCAAGTTTCAGAACGTCCATTTTAGTCTTTAGGGAGCGACCGATGACAAACAGGACAGATGGAAACAGAGCTCCATGTGGATTAGCTTGTATTCCTGCATGACAACCCCGCCTCGCTTTCCTTTTTCTGATCCTGTCTCTTCCACTTTTTCCTTAAAGGGGCTTCGCTCCTTTTTGCCCATGGAGCACACTGCTGCTGCCTCCAACTCCTCCAAAAGCCTCTCTCCCTTCCTCTGGGCCTGCTGACAGCCTCATCCAGTTCCTTCGCTCCATAAGCCCCTGGACCTCTCGTCCTCTGCCTCCATCGGAAACAGCTCTGTTTTTCAATAGAATCCATCGCTGTGCCAGCAGTCAGATCTTGCTGCCGGCAGAACAATTTCAAATAGCGCAAATGACTTTTAACAGTCTCACCAACAGTTCCGAAACAGCTAAAAACTCGCCATAGCAGCAAAGATTGTCGGTCGTATGTTAGCTTAGTCCCACTATGTTGCTCAAACACATCAAAACCTTCCTGATCATGTGGCCTTTATCCCTTATATCCCCCCAAAACCTTTTCACCTTCAAGAGCCAATGCAGCCGCAGCCGATCCAGGCGCCGCCCTCTTAACTCATCAACTCCGCATCTAATTTTGGTCACCATGATACAGAAACGATGTTGAGATTCTAGAAAGAGTGCAACAAAGATGCTTAGCGAACAGGAGGCTAAAACATGAAGGGTTGCAGGAACTGGGCAGGTCTAGTCTAATGAAGAGAAGGACTAGGGATGATGTAACAGGAGACTT